AATTATTTAACACCCCCCCTCACCATCCTTTCTTGCTTGTGTTTCCCCTTCACCTACTGGGGGGGGGGGCGCCTGGCTCCTTTCCTCGCCTTTTGCAGCCACCCCGGATGGATGGATGGATGGATGGTGGCTTTCCCCTTTCTCACCAGGTGCCTTTCTTTCTCTCTCTCTCTCTCTCGGTTCTTTCATTCACATCCACTTCTTTCGCCGTTTTTATTTTCTTTCATTTCTTGTTTCCACTCTTTTCCCCCTCGCGGTCGCCTAACCCAAATCGGCATCCTTTTTTTTTCTTCCCAGCGCTTTAATTCCACTGGTTTAAGGTCTTCTTCAGCCCTCACCCGTCTTCCCAGCCTTTTATTTGCTGTTAAAAATCTATCTGCTGTTGGTGTGGGAATGGCTCTTGTCTTGGGGGTGGTCCACCTATAAAACTCAAAACATTCAATGAAGTAATTGCACAAAACAGTATGTTTCTGAGATACACTGGCCTATGTTAAGAGCTTTTCTTCCTTGCCCCATCATTTCTCTCATTCAAATTTTTTCATGCTTTTTCTCTTTTCCCTTACCTTTTTTTGTACTTTGTCTCTTCTCCTTTTATCTCCAGCTTGTGTGGGTATTCCCCCATTATTTATCTCCACACAGTGGTTTCTCATTCACTATTTTAGCTCTTTGTTCTGCTTCCTTACATGCTGCTGGGGATGTTTGTGCCCTGAAGATAACTGTCATGAAATGGTAGATAAATACTTAAAGACTGTCCCATTTTGTTTCTTGCATGAAGTCTCTGTATTCTGACTTATATGTCTGAAGAAGTGCACCATGTTTCACTAAAGCTTACATTAAAATATAGTAGTTTTTAAAATCCCACAGCATCTCTTTTTTTGCTTTTGTTTTGTGTTTCATGCTGAAATGCGTGCAGAGACTAACATGGCTACAACTCTGAAAATGTAACATGCCATTGATATGCTTCCATAGCATTTTTTTGCATAATAGAAGCACATTTTAGGCATCACATCATATGACAAGGAGGATGGGAGAAGGGGGAACGAATGAGAGTTTGAAATGAAAATTGGCAATAAATGTTATTATCATCAATCACACCCAAATTAAAGGAATTTCCATAGTTTTTTCAAAGCAGGTGAGAAATTTTAAACCCCCCCTCCCAAGCTTCCATGGTGCACTGGAGATACAAACCCAAGTACGGTATCCTGAGTCCTAGCCAGTTACTCTATCCACGACATCACACTGGATCAATTATTTTTATTTATTTATTTATTTATTGAATTTATATTCCGCCCATCTAGTCAATAGACTACCCTTAATGGGGTAGGGATTACATTAGAATAAATTTGGGAGGTGGTATGTTGTGGAAAGGTAACTGATGTGCGGTAACTAAGGAAGTGATGTGAGAAGTTGTTGATTTTTTAAAAGGCACTAAATGGAAGGATGGATAGAGAAGAATTAAGGGACGCTTTGTGAAGATGATGTTAGGGAGAAGGACTTGAAGGTTTTCTGTGACATGCAAAGTGTAATGCAGAAGTGAATAAACTTTATTCTTGATATGTTTGGGACCAATTCCCATCAACTTCTGTCAGCATGGCCAGTGATAAAAGTTTCAGTTCAACATGTCTGAAAGTTAGAGATTCCCTGCCCCTGGATAGTGGGAAAGTCTGCTGAGAGGCGAGAACCACAAAAAGAAATGAGCGTAGGTTTTGAGGTTTGTATTTGCAGAACTTAAAATTTAGTTAAAGGGAGAAAGAGCCTGATTCCATACATATTATATTTAGAAAATTACTCTGAATTCAGCAGGGTGCATGTATCCTGTCCTCCCGGTGATCCTGATGGCATTTAGTTTTGCAGAAATAGATTTATACATGTTGAAAGTTTTCCATGGACTTAAAACACTGAATGTTCACATTCTTTATTCCATATTTGTAAGCAGCAGTGTTTCTTAATTGCAAGGACTAAACCAGTCTGGGAATGAAGGTAAAGTAAGCTGAATAAGCTTTCCATTTGAAGCTGGCACAGCTTAGTTACTTCAGTAAGCCTGAGTAAACAATATAAAGATTAACACTCCTGTTTGTTGTATGTATTTTAAACTTAAATGGGATCTCCTGTATTTCACTGAGATTTCCAGAAATCTGACCTTGAATGTATAGCTTTCTGAAGAATAAGTGCATGTATATGCCATAAATCTGGCAACAGTGGCTGTTGGTGAGAAGTATCTGTAAAGAAAACAAAAGCAAGGGCATGAAGTCTGGAGAAAGGTTGTGTGTGGAGGTGTAAAGGCAGAAAAAATGCAGCCAGTCTATTATAGTGCAGTGCTTAGCTTTGTCAGTGACTAAGAATTAGACTTTGTATTACAGCTACGAGGTTCCAGGATCTGACATTATCACTAAAACTTAGTTTTAGTTCACCTTTGGATATTGGAAGTAAAGCTCTGTAGAAATACTCTGAAACTTTTCTACCTTTCAGTTTCATATAGTTTTCATAAGAACCAGTGTACTCCTGTTCATATTTGTGTCATTTAGGAATGTTTCTTTATATCCTGTAGCTTATTGTACTAATAAACCATTTTGAGTATAGTTGCACATGCTTAAAATAGAGCATCTTCTTCAAGCAGTATCTAGGGCTTGCCTGGGATTGTCCTCATTTTTTCCTTAATTGAAGTTTTAAAAGTGGATGAGTTTAAGAAATGTATTTGTACACTTACAGCAGCCACTGTCTGAATATGAAAGGATGTGAACTTTGTCCCTGTTGGCAGTGGAATGGATTGAAGATCTAGCTTGTATCGCATGCAGTCATTCGTATGCCAGCACTGAATTTTGAATGAGTAGCTTCAAGCTGTGGAAATAGTCACTTTAATTGAACTCATATTTTCTGAGCTGTTTGGATGATTTTGGTTGGTTAGAAATTGCCAATTGAAGATACTACATCAAAATAAAACAAGTTAAAATGTGTATTTGTCACTCCTAGGCAAGATGTCAACAAAGATGTATGCTTTTGCCATGAGCTTTGTTTGAAGAACTGGAAAGCACCAATACCTATTTTCTATATTTTAGCTTGAGGATAAAATATGGTGCGTAAAATGTAGTGTTGTTGAAGCAGATGTACTGAATAGTTTCAGTCACTTCTCTGTTTTATACTGTTAATACATGTTAATGTTTGGCTGTGGAGTGATTAATGTTGGGTGGCATAGAGAAGACTGCTATTTCAAGACTTCAAAATTTAGTTGGACTGACTATAAAGGACAAAAATGGATGGTTCTCCAGGCAGTAGAAAAGGGAAGTTTGAAAAAAGCCTTTTAGTGTCAGAAAGCATTTGTCATTTAACCTCCCTGTTTACTCTTGCTGCGATAGGAGATGTGTATGAGATGCTTTTGTCTGGCTTGACTTTGCCAGGAAGTGAGTTCAAAGAATGAAGACTCATAGAGGAGACTCATGCTACAGTCTTCACATGCTGACCTAGAAATAAATCTCATTTAACTTAGTAGGGCTTACTTCTAAGTGAGCATCTACAGGGTTGCATTGCACCTAATTAAAATGTGAAATTATTACTCCTCTATCAAAAATGATGTAACCTTGAGCTTGGCCTCTGTACTAGAGGACTAGAAAGCAGCCAATGTCCCACCAATTCTCAGAAAGAGATCCCAAGGAAATCGAATAAGTTGCATGGCAGTTAGCATAAGGTCTGTTCCAAAAGTGTCATTAAGAATCCTGTTATCAAATGTTCCAATGGTAATATTACAGATTAAGAGTTGGCACTGATTCTGCAAAAGCAAGACTTGTCTCAATAACTTTTAAAAAAATTGTTTGAGTGAGGCAGTGAGTACTGTACATGAATAGGATGATGATCCAGTAAATACTGTATACGTGGATTTTTTAAAAAAATCTCACCAAAGCTCATTTCATAAAGACAGGTAACTGGCTAAAGAGCAGGAAGGTGAAAAATGAGCAGTTTTCATCTTGGAGTAAAATAAGATGCAGGAACCTCACAAGATCTGCACTGAGATAGTGTTTTTCAACTGGTTCACTCATGGACTGGAGTTAGGAGTGTGCAGGAAGAGGTCAAGTGGCAGAAGACACCAAAATATTTAGGATTATTATCCTTAATCCTAAATATTTTGGTGTCTTCTGCCTCTTCCCTGCACACTCCTAACTCCAGTCAATTAAGGATAAAGGAAAATTAACACTATCTTCGGACAAAACGATCGCTCTATGGCTTGGAAACAGAGATGAGCACCACGCCTAGAGTCGAACGTGACTGGACTAAATGTCAAGGGCAACCTTTACCTTTAATATGGAGGTGGTATTTAACACTGTAAAACTGAATACAATAAGTAAAAATTTATGATATGTTGGAGGTGTAAAAAAGATAAGGGGATG